TAAAGATATTGTGTTGGTGGAGTCGTCCATGAGGACTGAATGTGGAGTCCTTTAGGGTCCAGGTTTGTTTCAGTTATGTATCAGATGTGCATCGCTAAATGAAATTGTACAATTCTAGTTTGGGGTTTTTGGGGTTTGTTTTGTTTGCAGATGACACATATTTCTTTAGTTCAGGAGATGAAGCAAGAACTATTTAAAAAAAAGAAGTTATCATTAGATTTGACAAAAGTTCTAATTGTTATTGCTAATCAAAATAGATTGAGCGCATCGTTATCTGTCGACGGAATTGATATTGCAAGAATATTTCATTTCAAAAAATGATGTAGGTTCAACTTTTTGGGGAAACATTTGTCATAAACTGACTCTGAAATGTCATATTCCATATACACAAAAAAGGCGTTAAAGTATTTGTTGGATTATAACACATAATGCACATTCAGTACTGAATTACTCTGATACATTTTAGTTACCATGTTGAGGTTTTCGTGCAGCGTACACATGAGCCACATCAACCCATCCACTCTGCTCCTGGCTCTTTTTCACTGATTTAATGTCATTCCATAAAACTGTAGGATGAGCTTAATATGTAAATGTGCTGTATAAATGAAGTTATAGTTTGTTAATGAATCGCTTGTTGTTCAGGAGAAAAAAAATTGATAATATGATGAAATATTAGAATCCTGACTATTGATTCTCACCTTCATTGTTGTCACACAGCTGTATGTTGCAGGACTGGTACTGGACCCTCTGTCCCTCACAGTACTTCCCTCCGTTCTGAGGCACGGGGCTGGTGCACTCCCTGTAGGAGAACTCCACCCCACCTCCACATGTCCTGGAGCACTGCTGCCACGGTCCCCAGGAGCTCCAGCCGCCGTCCACAACCATCTGTGGTAAAACACAGAAAGAAAAAAAAAAGCAGCCAGAGTAGTTGGTTAGCGCTCAGAGCCAAAGGCAATCTCAGCTGTGCAGCCTAAACCACAGTCTGGGCTTCTGGGTTTGAGGCCGCACAGTGTGTTGGCGTGCTGCAACTCAAGGCTAAATCTGTGTTGAAGTTCGGCACGCGCCTGCTGTCTGCCTCTACCCACATTCCTGCCACATGTGTCACTCACCGCTAGTGGAACCTGCCATGCTGCAACTTTGTACGGCAAAATTGAAAGTGTGTGCGTGTGTTTGTGTGTGTGTGTGTGTGCGTGTGTGTGTATGCGTGTGTGTGTATGCGTGTTTGCTAGCGTGGATGTCCTTTCCAGAAGTTTTATGAGTTTGGACTAGCTAACATCTCAACTGCCAGCACGTCTGGATTCATAAGCAGATGTGTGTTTATAACACAAGGAGAAGATATCAGGGCAACCGAGCTCAGAAGAAACACTGAGATGTATAAATGTACTTTAAGGAAATATAAAAAGGCATCATGAAGCAGATGCATTTATACTCAACTATTTTCCAAAAAAAATGCAGTAATCTGTACTTTCAGCCGTTTGCTTTTCATTCATGTTTTCTTCTTAAAACACATACAGCTACGACACTGGAAAAGAGACAAACCTCCGCTAACGTCGCACTTCAAACTCAAACGGCAGATTTCCAATAGAAGTTTTGAGGTTGGGCGGTTGACAAAACAAGAAACTAAAGTTTGAATCCAAATCCAACAAATCTCGTGACAATCGTTGGAGAGCTTTCATCAGCAGATTTTTCCTTTTTTCCAAGTACTTCAAGGAGTTCTCTAACGTGCTGGCTTAAAAGGTCAAACTTGCGAGTTTATTCTTGACTTTGGAAAAAGCAATATATAAAACAATGTCTCCTCCACGCCCATGTAAGAGCTATTCCAGGGATTTGGATCCAATCACACACTGAAGGAACTTGATGCACTTTGATGCTTGAAATTTTACGATATTTTTGGTGCAAGAACCAGTTTCAAATCAGGCAAACCGGTACATCTGAAACTGGTAGGTAGGACATCAGTTGAAGACATTAGTTGAATATGTCTTACAGAACAACCTGCAAAACATATGGTGACATTTTTTATCAACAAACCCTGTTGGAAAATCCACTGGAAACCCACTGTGGAGGACTGTCTCAAAGTTGCTGACCTCCGAGTTTTACGACTGCAAATTACACTCTGTAGATGAGCAGTGCACTTCAAAAGAAGTGACTCATCAAAACCTAGGAGCAGCTCTGTGCAGCGATTATCAGCATGCACCAAGTTTTAAATGAGGTCTCAAGAGTGCCACAGGGTATTGATAGATCAGATGCTGAATGTGACAGCAGAGAGACCAAAATGTGAACCTTCCTGATGCAGGGACACAACCACAGCGAGCCCAATCACAATGTGGCCGATATGGCTAATGTGTGAGGAAACAGATGCCTGTTTACACATCTGGCCTCTTTTATTGTTTTTTACCAACTCATGAGTAAAATATCCAGGTCATTAGCTGATAAATGTTTCAGTGTGTTCACCAGCGAGTTGCTCTTTTTGACTGTCTGCCATTTGGTGCTGAGTAGGTGATGATCAGTGGGTCTATCAGAGTTTGGCTGAAAACGGCTGCCTGCTGTGGCTTAAATGTGAGGTAAATGAGAGCTGTGAGACGGAACCAAAACAAACATTAAGTAGTGGCCCATGCAACCAAAACAACGAGCTGTAAGATGCCAGAATGCGCTGTAGCCCTGTTGGAAATTACAAAATAAACAACAATTTTTAGTGTGTTTGTCACTACGAGGAGCAGTCTCCATATTGCACACATTAATTTAACCCTTTGCTCATGTAGAAATATTGATGAGTGCAGCTAAAGCTAAAAAACAGTTTTGTTTAAAATTGGTCATAATGTGAACAGTTGACAACACGGCTAAAACTAACAGTCCACAATCTGACATTGTAGAGTTTGCTAATGTTAACCACCATTAACTACTGGTATTAAACTGAGCATTTCACTGCTATAACTCAACCTTTCATTTGTAGGAAGATTTCTTTCAAAAGTAACAGTCTTGCTTTGTTAAAGTATGCTACTTTTCCAGTAAAGAAAAAGATGGCGTCTTACCAACGGCTGCATCACCTCCACGGTCGACATGCACGCCCCATTGAGGCAGGTCCCATTGGGGCTGCAGGGGGTGCCATCAGCCCAGGGCAAGCTGCCGTTCTTGGTGGAGCACTGCGGCGTCCCGTCCTCGTGACACCACAGCTGGCTGCAGATATCACTGTCGGAGGTGTTGGGGCAGTGGATGAACTCCTCTCCAAAAATCTGCTGGCACTGTTGGTCCAGAGTGTACTTGGTGCCTGGCAGTTCTCTTGGTAAAGGCATGGTGCTCTCCGGGACATCCAGCAGGCAGTCTCCTGTGGTTTCAGTACAAAGCAACACTGTATGAGACTGATTATACTGAGGTTTATAGGGATTATGGGCTTTGCGGCACAGTGACAATTGTAAATGTGTTGCTCTTTGTGTGTGGTATGACAACAGTGGAAAAATATTTAGGGCAAGTTGTGTCTCGACTATAAAAATGAATAAATTAACTTTAACTGATGCAGTGCGCTTTTATAGGCAGCCTAATGCTCTGAACCTGGACATCTGCCTGCAGAACTAATTCTGAATTTATTCATTATTCCTCTAATGATCTTTATTACTTGCACTAAGTTTTTGTCTGGAGTTGTGAATGACATTCACTGTTTGGAATGAACATTCTCAGCCACATGAGTTTTCGTCAGAGACATTTTCCAACTGATAAAGAACATATTTTGCTGACACCAGCTGTTGCTTTTGGCTGAGGAGGTGGAGAACAGGAAGAAGTCCATAGTATGACTCAGTGGAAAAGAAGGTTCAGTGATAGGTCTAGCAAGGATACAAACAATACAAGATGCACAACATGAGATGGGGGAGAGGAGGCAACGGAGGTGAGGCGAGGCGAAGAAACAAAAAAAGGGAGATGAGTGAGGAGAACAGGATGTGGAAATCTGCAGCAAGATAAACTATCCCTACAACCCGTAATTTGAGGGGAGCGACATGTTTAAGCAGGAAAGCGGTTACGTTCACACGAAGATGAGAGGAACACAATGTTTTATTAATCTGTGAATCAGCCCTAATAACAGAGTCACAGTTTTGTAACAGATGTCGACAGTAGCAGAGGGTCTCTGCATTAAGCTTTGACGCACTGGAACAAAAGTGAAATCTTCCCTACCATGTCCATTGTCAAAGAATTCGGTGACGTAGAGAGCGCTGCAGGGAGACCAAGGTGCAGTCTTGTTGAGGCTGACAAACAGAGGAGCCATCAGGTAATGTCCTCCCAGATCCCCAAACAGCCTCTCACATGTCTTGGAGTCATCATGAGGCATGCTCAACACATGACCTGCAGGAAGGGAGGATGCAACGACAAGAATTGAACATTTGTAGGTTTGCAGACGCTAAAAGTGTGGTTGGGAAGGTCTGACGTTAACTGAACTTGCCTATGACACTAAATATTTGAATCGTTTCAAAAACACCACACACACCAGCCCACCCGTACAACAGCAAGTGTGATCTAACCGAGCTCGTGTGCAGCTGTGAAGGCAGCTTGCAGGCCGTTGTCCTCGATGACAGAACAGCTCCTCTTGGGGTCGCACATCGTCCCGACGTCGGCCACGCCCAACGTGTCGCAGCTCTTCTGACCGCAGATGTCCTGCAATCCAAACAAAGAGAAAAAGACTAAAGCTGGAACTATGGGCTTAAGATGAGGATGTGAGATCTGAACAGCTGATACAAGTAAACGTGATCATTGTCATTGACTGTGACCATTTTGGCCAATTGTGTTTCCCCAAGAACTGTATTCTGTATTTTGTCTCTGTATGCTACTCGTCCACCTATTTCTTTTAACTATCTATTAAGACTGTTTATCCATTACTTTGAAGCAATCTTTTCATCTATGTTACTTTTAGTTAACTAGTTCAACAGCTTATGTTACCTTCAGCAAACTAGTCCACCAGTTTCTTTAAGCTAGTTCGACTGTTCATCCGTAACTTTAAAGCACCTTCTCTAATGGTTGAACCACTACTTTTCACTAAACTTTTCAACTGTTTGCTACCTTTTGCTATTGTATCTACAGTATGTCAACATTCTATGTTACATTCAGCTAACTGACGAGTTCAACTGTTCATCAATTATCCATTTTAGTTGCTTGTTGCAATACTTATTAATTAGTTATAATTATGCTATTACATAGTTGTGCTAAATTTTCCAGTTTTACAACTGCAGAAGTCCCATCTGTTGGAAAGCACTGCACTGGAAAACAACCAGCTATGATATATTTTTTTGTTTGTTTGTGTGTTGTTTAAACTGCATCGACATACTATCAGTCAAATGTCATGTAAATGTGTATTGCTAATCCTTTGTTTTGAATGGAAGGCACTTTGTGACACCTTCTTTTGTTTTAAACGTGTTGCATAAGTAAAGGTGACTTGTCTTGACTAAGGAACAATGTAGAATGTTTCAGTCATACGCACACAAACACACGTACCAGTGGATGGTATTTGCTGGCGGAACATAAGTGACATAGCATTTGTAAGTGCCACGAATAAGTAAAACAGCACTGGCACGTCAGAAACCACCAGGAACGTACCACTCACAATCAACGGCAGTCATTAGGATTAGAGCTGTATACCATCAGCTACTTTCTGATCTCACTGCTGCTGCTAAAGCTGCTTCAGTATTATGGAACACTAACATTTTTCCACTGAAACTAAACCAAAGTACATTCTTGTATCAGATTCAAAGTATTTCATTCATACCATGCAATTCATACAATCCCCCAATTAATGTGCAAATCATAACAGCAGCTTAGTGGAGAACTAATACATGCCAAATAAGTGATTCATAGTCATACTGATTACATTTTAAGGATTATTAAAGAGTTAAAGGAACTCTCTTGCTTCATTACTGTATAGTAAATATAGCATGTGGGCAGCCCTGAGGAACTGTAATATTAATGGCATGGGATGGAAAACCTTTGCAATCTATTTACAAATCAGAAAACATGTTGCTCAGTGTTTCCATCATTTAAAAAAAAAAGGCAGATAAACATCCTCAACATTCATCCATCCAGAGCTGTGATGTGGGAGAACTAACAGTGTGGTGTATCAGAAATCTCTCCCGACCCAAGAAGACGCCTGGCTACGTAGGATGGAGACAGAAGAAATCACAAGACAGAGCTCTCTGTGATGCAAAAGACATCTGGACCGGGAGCTGCAGTTTGAACACAGCTCAGCGTGTGTTTGTACACCTTGTTCCACAACAGCAACCGTCACTCTTGTATGCAGACATGCAGATGCACGGCAAGACGTATGGGGTCAAAGCTCCAGCCGTGGTATTGCATTTGCAGATAGTCAGACTGCAGGCACACAAGGCCACAAAAAAAAAAAAAAAAAAAAGCCTGTGAAAAATATTTCCACTACATTCAAGTAGTGGAAAGGAGTGTAAGGTTTGAGTTTCACAACAGCCAGTAGTAGCAGCCTTCTCTTATGACTGTGGGATGCATGGCACACATTTTCAACCCCAACCCGGCCGCACACTCAAGCCCTGACCATTTTAAGTGGCTTCATCATGTCAGAGCTGATTTGTGGCGGCACTAAAGTTAGCTCATCCACGAGGAGCCTTCCGTTCTCTACGTTTCAAAGCATATCTCCGCGGAAATGGAAAAACAAACACAAACTGGGTTTGCGTGAATGATGGTTTCCCCCTGAACGAAAGCCGCTTCACCAAATCCAACACAAGTCTGCAAAAACCCATATGTTCTATTCATCATTTCCGTGATCTGGGGTCAGATGTACATGCCTACGTCATTCGGTAGGAGGATAAATGCCAAGCCTGTCATCAAATCAAGCCGCAAACCAGGGCACTTAGCTATAAAAATGTAATAATAGAGAAGTTACCCGCCTAATGTATTGTCTGCTAACACCTTGTCAGCATGCACATACCAGATGGAAGACGGCAGCCAAATACAGCAAAACAAGCCAATCACAACTCAAACCCTAGGGACTTGTGAACTTATTTCCTGTCAAAGCATCTATAAAGCACAGTTTGTTTGCTCTGTGTTGACATTCCCCCAGCTTGGAAAAGATTACAGCTATTCCATCTCTACAGTCTGTGTTCAGCATCCTTAATTTACCCAAAAAAACAGGACAGGCTTTCCTTTCTATCCTTATCTTGTTCCATCTTTTTTGGACTCTCCGGGGTGCTTGAAGATATGTCAGCGACTGGTCTCAAGCGAGGGGCTGTTTTTCAGCCGCAACTCTCCAGAACTGGGCCTAAAATGCACCTGCGTGTGTTACTGCATGACACTTTGGATTCAGATAATTGCTGTGTGGTTGAATGTGCTGCCTCCGAAACCACATTATGTACCACAGCTGGCCTGGGTCTAAATTCCATCAGGGCTTATTTTATGACTCATCCTTAGTGGGTTATTGCATTATGAATGGGGAAGAAAATATCACAGACTATTATGAGTGGAGGGACCATCCATTCTAATAATTCACTGTGGAGCACTCACTTCATTAGTTGTGTTGTGTCATTCACCAAACCACACTTTGAAGAAAAGCCTGACTTTCGTCATCTGTCATGATCACTGTGAGTGTTAAAGTCTGCAGTTTATGGATATTTCATGCTAATATTGAATAGTTTTAAGGCTGCTCTACATTTATTTCTTTTTGTTGCAGCTAATTCAGCCACACTCACGTTTTGGTCTCCATTTACTCCCAACAAACATACTTTATGTCTCCTTATCAGTTCAATGCTCCACCATGGTCACCAGATGGTTGCTAGCTTTGCCTGTTTTAGTTTTGGTGCTGGCAGGCTGCATATAATACTTTTTTTTTTTTTTTTAAAATCATCTTCCTGCTTCTGTTGGAAACAAAATTGATGATCGAAAACAGTAGATTGGCGAGCAAGATGCTAAAAGGCATCGTAGTACTGAAGGTAACTGTATATTTGGTTGATAATTCTCTGGGTTCCTCACTATGACTGATGCATTTAACAAAACAGACAGGCAATGTGGCCCATTGGCTTTAATAAAAATATTAATTGATGCACTGTGAAGTTACAGTTTCATGACCAAATATTGTTAGCATCAGCATTTTCTGTAGCTAAAACCTTCTCCTGCTTTTAAAATTAAATCTGGCGTTCCCCAGGGATCAATTTTTGGGTCACTGCTGTCTTGGCTGGGTCTTTATCCGTCACATCATCAATGTAGCAACAACTAAGTAAACTCAAGAGGACTACAAGATATGTTCAGAAGGTCCAAAAAAAGCTTGTAAGTGAACCCTGTGTAGCGATATTAGTCTTGTCTTGACTTTGCCAAGGTTTAGAACTTCCATGTTTAAATTCTGCCAAATATTTCAAACCACATGTTTAAGATCTTTAATACAGATAATGGAATGATGATATTCTGCAGCTGTGTAAAGAAACTAAAGCAGAGCTGTGCTTGGTCCTCACCTCTCTAGTGAACAGCATGGCAGTGTCGTAGTGCTCTGGATGCCTCTGGCTCGGTGGGTTGAAGAGTTGCTGCCAAGAGCAGAAGTTCCGCAGAGCCACGCCTCCGTTACTGGAGACCTCCGGTCCGACCTCCTCGTCCTCCACCGTCAGCATCTTCACCACTACCATGTTCACTGAGTTCTTTATGCTGGGGTGCTTGTAAAGCTGGGCAGCCATGGACATGAGGGTGAGAATGTAGTGCTGTGAAGAAAGAGAGGACATTAAAAAAGCTTGAAGACTTTACAGCTGGACAGAACCAAGCTTTCCTCTGTGTTCATTCTTTGTGCTAAGCTGGATTACATAGTGCAGCTACACATTTTTGCATGAACTTGTACTTGTGTTTTTGTCTGCATAAACTAGCGCCCAACCGAAAGTAGATTTTTGCGGTCCATACGATCATTTAACACTTTTAATAAGATATGGCCAATACTGTTTTTTAACAGTCCTCTGGAATTGGGCAACAAAAATTGGTTATACTAAGCAGGATTTTTTATGCATTAACAATAAACTTGTGACTGTCCTCTGCTGGTCAGGCTATGTTACGCCATGTTAAAATGATTGCATTTATTTTAGTACGATTTCTGACTAACAGGCTGAGCCTGCATATCTACAATAACATATACGATCACCTCCACCACACACCACCTCAGTATTGATTCAGATGCAAAGACTAATTTTATTGGCTTCAATTGGTGGAGGCACATACAGAGGCCATTCAAAATCACATTAAAACACATTTGTGCAGGTTTTCCAATCCCACAATCAAAGAGAAATAAAAGTGTAACCACAGTTTACTATAATACACTAATTTATATATAATTGTAGTGAAAGGGTCCAGATCTTTGTTTTCATCAGTACTCAGATGAGGAAATAGCTACATCCTAAAATGAAAATTCAACTTGAAATTGGACATAATGAGCATCAAAAGCATGCAGAGCTACATGACAATCCTGTTTAGTCTCAGACTGCAACATGCGCTGTTCAAGGCATTATTATGCATATTTGCTGCTGCTATGGGAAAAGAGCCTCCAAGAAGTTAGTCTCCTCCCGTCCCACTAAACTTTCAGCTGCCTTTATGTGGGATGAGAGAAGCAGATGTGATTGGTCGTTATGAAATTCAGACCTGGTATCAATACATTTCACTTTATTGAGTTTTAAAATGACAAAACACTAGTTGGACTGACTCACTTGTATTCACACCTTAAGCTTGCAAACCAGTTACAGGACACGAGGAGCACTGCTATTTGTTCACTAGTGATGATTGTGTCATGGGATGTAGAGATGGATTTCCACAGAAATCACACTGAGCGTGAGAGACTGTACCAGTATGTATATTCATGCTGAAATCACTTTTTCTAGTGTGGGATGAAGTTCCCACAAAGAAATTTTTCCACATGTGCTGTACGCACACCCACGGAACCACATGCTGATTTTTTCCCGGGTGACCAAATCACTAATATTATCCTGGCTCAGAGAAAACCAGTGGATTTAAATAGAATAAACCGACGTGATTTGGAATGAAAGCTGCAGCTCATCAGTCTAACCTTTGTCTATTTGACCCTGGTGCCCGGTTGACTGAGTGTTACTGGGGAATACTGCAGTGATTTAGATGCTGTGGAGTTTGTTAAATTCAAACAGAGGAGAATCTGGCAGGTGCAGACTGTGGCAGGATAGTCCATTGTCCTACTTTTGCTAAAGTAGGTTTTTGGCTAGAACCAGGGGTGATATTAGTTATGGAGGATGATAAATAGACACCATCCATTAAATTGAGTTACATTTAAATGCTGGGTGCGTTATACGGCATGCAGCAGGAAAGATAGGTCAATTTTATGTACGTACACTACCAAGTAAAGCAGAATGGAATAAATGCTGTAAGCGCTGTGAATCTTCCCGGATGATGCTGAGGCTTTGCTGCCAAATCGTGACCAAGTCCTGAGGAATGCGCTTCAGCATTTCTTGCATTTCTGTTGCCTGACCTCTTTCTCAGCCTGTGGAAAACAGGGAGCCCATCGATTTGCTCCCTTGCTGCCGAAACATGTTTTATAAAGACGCAGAGAAAAACATTTCCCTGCCACTGTATTTTATAGGTTAGGATTTCTGACTGAGCAGACAGGATGGGAAATAAAGGGGGAAAACGGGATGACGTCTTCAGCAGCTTGTTTATGGGACAGTCTAAACTGCGAAATTAAACTAAAGGTTTGTTTAGGTTTCTATCGTGTGTGTGTGCAGGAAAGAATGAGTTCATGGTGTCTGACCTGTGTTTCATCTCCATAGAAGTGGGTCATGGTCGAGTCTGCTACCACCAGCGTCTCTATGAACCGTGGCGCGGAAACGAACCGTCTCCGGCGAGGTTCCCTCTGTGCGTCACTGTGGACGTGCGTAAAACTTTCCCCATTGTGCTTCTCGGCTCGGCTCTCCTCCGCCGCGTGATCAAACAGGAGGGGAACACCGCGGCTCTCCGTGAATGTCCTCCTCTTGATGACATGCAGCTGTTCGGCAGAGTCTGGCCCCAGGCCGCCGCGAAGTTTGGGCTCAATTAAATACTCTTTGCCTTCTGTTATGAAGGAGCCAAAGATGCCGGAGCACAAACTGACAGCCACAACAGAGTTCTGATCTTGATCCACGTTCCCCGAGTAAAAGCAGCTCCTCAGCTGTCCTTCACTCTCCTCAGTCTGGTTCAAAAGTTTCAGGAGACCCGCGTCCAGGGCAGATTGGGCACCTGAAGCGCTGCGTAAAGCGCCAACATCCCTGGCTTTGATGCGCTGTATGGTGAAGGACGGCGCGATGAAGCTGGTATCTGGTATGAGGTTTAGAGTCAAGTCCTTGCCAAATGCACTGAGGACAAACCTCGGCTGCTCCTCGCTTCTTTTCCAAAAGCGGCCGCTGATCCTTCCATTTATCCGAACAGGTACAACATCCTCAGATTCAAATGGAGTGGTTCGTGCCGCGTTGACGCACAGGAGTAAAAAGACAAAACGCACAGTGGCACACATCTTCTGCAGAAGAAACTGCACTCAAGAGTGGTAAGAAATAAAGACTTCAACACAATTTATGTCCTTTATCTCTGGTAAATGGCGCGTCTTCTCCAAACGAAAGAATATCTTCACAAAATCTCTTCAAATAAAAAGTGGTTTCCAGTGCTGTAAAGCCAGTCTTGGTCAAAGTGTGTCTGGTATTTAATGTCAGTCTGTCTGAGCTGTCGTTCCTAATTCTCTAAGCAAGCTAAGTCTTGTTGTATCACCCACCAGCACCGCTGCAGTCTGGACATATCGGGGGTATTTATACTTTCTGCTCTTCCCTGGACATGAGGGGGTTTATTTTTGATATCCTCCGTTGCTGGAAATTCTCCTCCCACTCGCACTTCATGAGAAACTCGCGGATAAAACGGATCCAATGAGAATAGGCCGACACTCCCCCCTTCTGAAATAGCTTGACAACCGCGCTCCTATTATTAACCCAGCGTGCTATATGGCAGCGGCAGGACATCTATACTACGCATAGCTGGAAGTCCGCTACTCGAGTTATTTCGGAGCGGTGTGTGAGTGACAGGCCCCCACAGAGCCCGGAGGCCCCCCCAAGGCCGAGCTGCTTTATGCCCGGCACAAAAGACCACCGCTGGACGCAGAAAGGCGCAGTGTGTGCCTGGAGCTGCCCGCCGCCTCCAACACTGGAGAACGTATAATCACATTAGTGGAGCTTTAGGAAGAATATTACTCTACAGTTGTGTGTTTTTACGCCATATGTGTTCTGCCCAAAACATTTTCTTGATTATTAAACTGAAAAACATGAACCAAAATGATAAACTACCTGAAAAAAACCCCAGCGTGTCCAGTTTGGGGATGCAGATTTGGAACACATTTCCATGAGTTTTCCTTACAGGCTTCATATTCAATGGAAATAAAAGCATTTTATTCGTAGTAATGTGTAGGAGTTCCTCTGAAAGGCTTCTGCTGTATTACAAGACCAAACACGCGTTCTGCCAAGCACCATGCCACTTTATGAAGCCTGAGTGCCAGAAGAATGCCCGTATTTTACCAATAAAACTGATCCCGGAGCGGCAGGTTAAGACATCTACCGGCAGATGGAGCCACAGCACAACGACGAAAATCCTCAGCTGGAATATCTGTGAACTTCAGGTAAGAGCAGGTGTCGCTGTTTGCCTACTAGAAGTTTGTATTTGCGCTTTAACTTTGTCATCTGAACTAGGATATATCGGGACAAGTGTTTGGTATTTGGTGTCTATATTTTGAACTTAAACTTGTTTAATGTGCATTTTCACATGTTGTGGGAAAATGAAAGACTTTAAATGATTAAGAAAACAACTTCAGGGGGATAAATTGTGTAGAAACATGTTACATCATTATATTAACATTTTTGGAGGTTATGATGCAGCTTCTGTACTTTGAAGTAAACGTCAAAATGTCAAAACCTCCAAAAGATGCAACCATCGTGGAGTCTGACTCCTATTGTTCCCTGTGTGTTTGACTCTGAGCAGTGGGAGGAGGGATGATGCTCCAGCTCGTGTCGCACATGCTGTAAAGCAACAATAATATTTGGAGAGTTACAAGTGGCTGCGGTCTGCAGCACAAACCGAGAAGCATGACCAATGAGCTCTCTCTTGCGCATGTACTCAGATTTCAGTTGACAGTGATCGTTGGTGTTTATGCGCGACTTTAAAGCTCAGCAGCTCAGAGAAGTTGGTGTACAGAGTGGAAACGGTGCAAGATGGGAAAGAAGCTGGAAGAAAGCGCGGGTGCATAGTTTTTTCTTTTTTTTTAAGGACGCGCAAGCGGAGCTCGGTGCCATTGCGCACAAGTTCTGAACTGCATGCAAACGCACCGCAGCTGAATTACACAGTGGACTCTCATGAGCAGGGGCAGAGATGGCTGCATCTATTAATTCTTTGGTTATTGCTACACAATTTCTACTTTATTTTAAGCTAACATGTTGCTTTGAGGTGGATTTCTGCATACCTGTTCGCGTGGACCATCAAAAGCATGAGAAGCATCTGCACCGGCACACGGAGCAGATGAATGAAAGACAGGTTGTTTTCAGACTCAGTGCGTTCAAACAGGAATTTTACCTTCACCTCACGCCAGATTCTAGTTTCCTTGCAGCTGGCAGCATGCCGCCTGAGAGCGACTCCGCAGCATCCAACGCCTCTGCAGCCGCTGACCTCAGGGAATGCTTCTACTCCGGTGATGTCAACGCAGACCCGGACTCCTTCGCCGCACTTAGCCTGTGCAAAGGTCTGCAGGGAGGCTTCTCCTATAACGGCATGGAGTATTACATCAGTCAGACCAGGAATGAAGACGCGCCTGGATATGGAAACTCTTTCGATAGGACGCACGTTATCCGCCGCCGGACGCGCGCTGCGCACTCAGGTGGCAACTTCACGAGCAGGTGTGGAGTTACACCTGACACCAACTTCAGCATTTCTCTGGAGAAATACAAGTACATGAGCGAACTGGAGATTGATGGCTTAACTGAAACTGTGTTGAAATCCTTGGGGAGGTCCAAAAGGTTTGCTTCCATCCCCAGGTTTGTGGAGGTGCTGGTGGTGGCAGATGAATCTATGGCTAAATTTCACGGGGATGACCTGAAGCATTACCTCCTGACCCTGATGTCAGTAGCAGCCAGGCTTTACAAGCACCCCAGCATTCTCAACTCCATAAACATAGTGGTGGTGGGCTTCATGGTGATAAATGAAGCTGACAAGGGACCTAAGGTTTCCAGTAACGCTGCCCTGACTCTGCGCAACTTCTGCTCCTGGCAGAAGAAGTTGAATAAACACAATGACAAGCACCCTGAGTACTGGGACACCGCAATACTGTTCACCAAGCAGGTAAGCAGAGGAGCTGCATGAACTCCAGCTGTCTGAATCACATTTGTTGTTGCAAAACATAAAATAAAAATGCTTCACTCAGGGACAGATTATGAGACAAGGGAACAACCAAACCGAAAAACATTGAAATTATTTTGCAGGTTAACCTGAACTCTCTGACACAATAACTTGTTTTGCCATTTTTTGTGTGTCTGAGGTTGTTTTGCATTAATTTATGTCTATTTGTCTCTTAGTAGTTGCGTTGTGTCTTGCCATGTTAACTTTGTGTGCTTGTGTAATTACTTTGCATACCTTTGTGGTTGTGTCACCTACATGTGCTTGTTTTGTTTACATTGTGTCTCTTTGTAGTTGTTTTTCATCACCTTCTAGTTGTTTTGTGTCTCTTTGTGGTCATTTTGTGCCTCTTTTTCTTCACATTGTGTCTCTTTGTAGTCAAGTTGCATGTCTTTATGGCTGTTTTGTGTCTTGTTTCCTTTGTGCCTCTTTTTTTAGCCATTTTTGTTACATATCAAATGTCATTTTGCATCTCTTTGCAGTGTTTTTGCACCCTTTCATGTTCATTGTCGTCCTCTTTGTGGTGGTTTTATGTCACTTTGTGTCTCTTTGCAGCTGTTTGGCGTTGCTGTGGTTGTTTTGCATTACCTTGTAGACATTTTGAACTTTGTTGTGTTCATCCTGCATCCCTTTGTGGAGAGGTTGTGGTCATTTTGGGTGTCTTTGTAGTTGTTTTCTGCCTCTTTGTGTTCACTTTGTGTTGCTGTGGTTGTCTTTTCTGTCATTTTTGCATCTTCTTATGGTTGCTTAGCATCTCTCTAGTCTTAAATCTCACTTCATACGTAGACTTCAGCCCAGGAGCCTACCAACTCTGCAGGCCCCTCAGTTTGTGCTTCAGTAATTCTTGAATGATCAAGTGTGTTGGTGCAGCCTGTCATCTGCACAGCTCTGCAAGCCCCTTTCTTTACTTCTGTGTTGGCTGCTGCCATGACTCACAGGAAAAGACCAACTGAGCCAGTTCTTTCCATAAAAGACCTCACCTCTGTCTGCTTGTTACGAACTGGGTCACTATCGGCCTATGTTAGCCACCTTCAAATGATCAGAAAATTTAATAAGAATCTATAAAAAATTCAAATGACTCCCTCATTCATTCAAGCTGATGTAAGCTGACATTATCTAAAGCATTCAGCCTGCTCACAGCTGTCAGATAATCCCATGTGGCCACCCGAGCTGTGAACACTGGCTAGTAAATCTTTCTCTGCAGTTACTAACTTCTCACTGTCTCTCCCTCTCTGATGCCTGGTCGTCACTGGTGCCTGCTTTCCATTAGGTCCACTTTGGCTCTGGCTGACCCTCTGATACACAGCCTCTCTCCTTCACTGCATAGCAACATACAAAAACACTTCAAGGTCAAAGAGAGTGAAGAGTCATCCCAGTGCTGGGAAAGAGCCCTTATTTACCACCAAGGCCATGATATATAGGAAAATCCAGGTCCGGTATTGTTGTCCTTGCAGGGCACAATGAGTGCAGCTGCTGCGCTGGAAAGAATCTTGTAATAGGTTATGGAGAGCGAGTGGTGTGGAGTACACATGGCTGGCAGAGGGAGCTTCTGGCATTGCTGGGCTTCACTGTAACACTGGGCTAATAAGTTCATCATCAAATGCACTCACATTTACTTTGATCACTATAAAAGCACAGGAGAGGCAGTTTAATAGAACACAACTCCTGAGCAGTAATACTGAAGAGGCTAAATATTGTATAAACACAGGAACCTTTCCAGTAAGTCTTAGGGCAACAATCCCACTGATAATCAGTGAGTCACGGCCATTATTCCAATGAAGTTTTCCATTGGACAATGTTAAGAACTTTTCCTGTAATTCTGAATGCCAAGATAAGAGAGTTCAGCCAGTAGTGGTGCTCTGAGCTAAGTGCTAACGCCAGCATGTGAACATGTTCGAAATAACAATAGGCAGCTTTCCACTGCAGGAAGTCGGTGCAGACACATGGTGGCGTGAACATTTAGAGGAGTGGCACTTGTCAGGTTTTATTGTGGTGTAGAAACCAACAGTTTCTACTGAATTATCAGCAAATACTAGTTACTGGACGTAATGCCAGTTCTATGAACACGTAGGAAACAACATCCACATCGATATAGTGATGATGCACATCAAATTAAACAGCACCACCTGGGCTACAAGAATATATAAGTCATTTTTACATTCCACAAACACAACTCAAACACCAACTAAATGAATTATCAAACACGGAAATCGATATAGTGCCACCAAGTCAACCCACATTTCTGGCTCCAGCGCTTTGGTACTTTATGCAAAACGCACCAACAAATCCTCAAATGAAAGCAGACAGTCCACAGACTCCAAACATGTCCATCAAAGCTCTCTAAAATCAAAGCATCAGCGAGAAACAACCCAAAGAACAACAAAAACCCAAATCGCTTCATCAAGCTATAGTTGTAAAATGTCTCTTACCTGAGCTGTTTTGCCATGAAAAGTTTATTTTATCGGTAAATTCACACCGGAATCAGTTACTACTTCCTGTGTTACACTGAAATCATTCCGGGCGTCTTTTGGAGGCTACGTTAGCCGAAGGGAGCTAAGGAGTGAACAGTCGCTCAGCAAGCGGCTTGTCTTCAAGATGGCGTTCTACTGATTCTGATTGGCTAAAGGTGCTGTCAATCTCATTTTGGTGGCTATCGCTATATTCTATTGGCTGTAACGATTCGAAGGAGGTGTCATCACTGAAATCAACCAATCCATGACGGAGATACAGCCCTGCCTCACCACAGGAGCTTCACAGCAGTTTGATCAGCATCACGCACAGGAACAGAGACAGCGGTCTGGTTGAATTTTAAAAAACTAAAAAGCTGATGTATTTGGATGTATTGAACAACATTAGTGATATACAAGTGAAATATATAGTTTGTACATAAGAAAATTCAGTTGGTCACCAGTGTGCCAGAATGTGAGCTCACCTGAACTGTGTGGACTAAAAACTCTCTGATTTTGTTCTGCTTCACTTTACCAGAGTCAGTCTTTGCAGAGAGAATGTTCACATGTTGTTCTATGGTTTGGTCGAGGTTTAGAGCTGCAGCTGGATCATTCCAAAGAGATAAATATCCTGAAAGTGCTTTTATTTTTCATTTGTGCTGTGTGCCATCTTCATTTACTCTTAACCAGTAACATATATACTGATATCTACACATCTGAACAAATCTTTTACGTGTTCCTTTTATTATGACACAAGAATTATTCAAATAGACCTTGTGGTTGCAGAGATAAACCGTTGTTATTATGGGTATGTAATTTTCGAGCAGAGGCCTGAAAAACGGCTTAACAGGTCCTGGAGTAGTTACTTCTTTCACCCCCCCCCCAAAAAAAACAGCCTTGGCAGAAGTTCTACAGCAGCGGTTCTTGCAGTTGGAATATCCACAAAGGTTTGCGCGAAAACAAGTTCCTGCTGTGAAAAACACCTGATGCCATCGTGTTAATGTTAAGCAGGTATAATGTAACTATGTCCATCATGTTCATCTGGTCCATGCTTTTTTCCTGTAGGCTTCACCGTGGTCCGAGTTGCTGGAGCCAACTGTTTCTTTTTCCTCCTCCAGTTGCTCCCCTCATCAGCTCCACTGAACCACCATCATGGTTCACGTAAAACGCATCACTATTGGTGCACCCACATGGGATCGTCAGTACAGAAACCCGATTAGGCACTCCAGCATAACGTGAAATAAAGAGAGAATTATCTGGTACTGACATGCTTTATCAACCCTGTGTGAACTTGTTTGGCTTGATTGTAACAGATGTTTATTTACATGGGCAGCTACAACAAGTTATTACAGTCCTTCCTGACTGGGATGTGAACATGTCTAACAAATGTCATATTAACCCATCAAATAGCTGTCAATGCATTTCACTCAAAACTAAAACAACACGCTGGCATTAGAAGAAAGTTCAGAGGGATTCATCCTCTGGGGATAAGGAATGACTGAGCAAAACTACATCTCAGTTTGGACGAACTTTGTGACATAAAGAGCCACAACACTTGCCAGAGTGAAAGCTCACTACACAGCTATGACTCAGATATTGGCACTGATTTTTGGGGAAGCCTGGTTTTTGAAGTCTGGTCTGTCTCATTACCCACACTTGTGATATCTGACATATTCTAAGTACAATGAAGGACAAAACTGGCCACATCCTACGGCCAATGTTTCACTTTTTGCATCTGCAAATACGTGAGGGCTCTCGTGGCATTAATCTCCCAAAGTCTGCGAGAGATCCATGTGCAGCAACTACATTACAAGGGCAGTAGTGCATCTGGTCAGCATGAGTGTGTGTGTGTGCAGAATGTGTAGACGTGATCTACTGCATCTGTAGAGCAGAGTCTTCTAACAAGACTCCAGTGGACTAGAAAGTAGTGCAATAACAACTACACGTCCATGATGTCTGCAGCTGTGTGTTCATCCACAAGGGAGCATAATCAAGGTGGAAGACTTTAAGCATATGATGTTATCTATCAAGCTCAGAACAATTTATGCATAATTAAGTAGGTCCAATGCAGTATTACAGTTAGTCAGATAACAAACATAAAGCAAGAAGCTGAAGTATTGCAGTTAACAAAGCAATTAAATCTGATTTTCTTCCACCAACTTACAGATGAATTGCTGCCAGCAAGTGGATTGAACTACTACAGCAGACTTAATTGAATTATGGGACACTCTTGGCTCTGAATACGATTTTGAAGCAACATTAGGATAAGTGTGGATCAATTGCAGATTAAATTCACTCTGTGTTGTTGGTATTTTTTGGGTGAGGACTTGGTGACACATGAATGTATGCTTTGATGTTTAAGACCCATATATTGATGCAGCATCTGCCAAATTTCAAATTTGTGTAAACTACAAACAAAGCAGGAAAGTTACTGCACATTGAAACAACAGAATAGAACAGAACATCAGATGTTCAAATGCAAGTAATTCCAACAATTTGTTTAACTAACTATCACTGGATAAATGGAAATACGCCCAACGAGGAAGAGGAGACAGCAAGTTACTAATTAACTCATACAGAAGACACAATTGGAGTTGACGTGGATTTATTTCACCCAGGGCTGTGTGCTGCAGGTATAGTCTTTCTTCCTCAAAGAAACACAAGAGGCGGCCAATCTCCCTTGACCCTCTGCCTCAATATATTTTAAGAACAGAGAATAAGCCAACCACAGTCCCATATGCTTTGAATTAGTGCTTTTTCATGGTCTGTTCATTCTGTAGCTCGGCCCAGCCGCACAAAACATGTTCGGAACATGGCTCGAGTCCAATCTGATTTTTCAAGCTTCTTATGAGAATAAAGGGCTCTTCACAAGTAACACATTTGTCTGTGTGTCATCAGGACCTTTGTGGCGCCACGACCTGTGACACTCTGGGGATGGCCGACGTTGGCACCATGTGTGACCCGAAGAGGAGCTGCTCCGTCATCGAGGACGACGGTTTGCCCTCCGCTTTCACGACTGCTCATGAGCTTGGTAAGAAGGTCGTTGAGAAGCAGGGACCCAACACTTGCTTTACGCATTTCAGATTTATGCTAATGCACATTTGGACGCAGAGTGAGATACGCTCAAGGCAAGAGCTGCGTATAACCTTAGCTTAAAATGCCAAAGGAATTTTGCAGCTGGGTTTGACAGACTTATACGTGCATAATCAGCGTGGAAACTGGCCTGGCCCGAGGGCTTCACGACTTTCATGTTGATCTGTATGGCTACGATTCTCAGTCCCGGTCTTAGAGGACTGCACGGTTTTTAGGCCTACCAGCTGTTTAATTGCATTCACCTGATGTTCCATTTGAAAATCAGTCTTCCTAATTGCCGTCGGTGGGTGGAATCAAAACCAGCAGGTCCGTGAGTCCCATTGAGCAAGACTCTGGAGATCTGCGCATGTTTAGCATCACAGCTGCACCGTGTAACCATGAACACGGACAGCTGCACACGGACGAGAGAGAGATAACTGAAAAATCTGAACTATTTCACATGATATCATAAACGTAGACAGCCCAGCTTATCTGTGACGGTTTATGCCAACAGGAAAAATGAATGTAAGCAAGGAAATAATACTGTCCAGTTCATTCATTCTTTGCTGATGTGGAGACACTCATCTCACCCCCCAACTTATCTCCGTTTATAAGATCTGCCACATGAAGCACAGGCTCTCACTTGGCATTTCTAACTGTGTCAATGGATAGATAGTAATTTAATTTAATGGATTGATAGTAATTTAATTTAATAGCTATTTGGATGAGCCGACCCTAAATGTGTGAGTAAAAATGTTCACCCATAAAATACAATAATTCCACAAATAAATCATTATTAGCAATCAGCCAAAAGCTGCTGTTTGCTGGCAAAATATTTTTACTAGTTTATGATTTCACACTGAAAATACTGTCCATGTGTGCAATAAAATGTGTTTTCATTGTTACTTGGCTACCTGTTGTTATAGTTTAGTCATTACTGTAATGACCAGTGAGGTCACTTTTTATATGTATTGTTATGGGAACACACCCAAACTATACAATAATGTCACAACTTCAAATGTCTTGCAGTGAGACTGTGAAATTGCAAAATTAGATCAGACTTTTACAGAACAATAAAAAACTGCTGTGATGGAGCTCAGGCCTCAGTGACGGCTGAACTGCAGCTTAATTAAGGAAGTTACTGCTGTTGTGCTGCTTGTGTGTGTGAATGCGTGCGACGCGCTCACTTCTGCGATATGGATCCTGTTACAGATATTTAACAAACTCAGAGGAAAGATGGGAACAAACTAAACTTCAGCTCTGATTGACATTTTGTCAAAACCTGAATAACATTTATCAGCAGTGAGTCTTGTTAATATGACCTATAAAGTTTTATTTTATATTTCTCATTTTTTTATAGATGTGAAATTGTAGAGCAAAGTAAATGAGGCACATGTGGAGGGTGTTTTGTTATTCTTAGTGTGATTTAGGCAGGTATTATGGGTGCAGTTTTACCACAAATATCTTGCTAACTGCTGCTAAACTGCCTATATAAATCAGTCAGAGGTAAAAATGGAAAAACAACTGCCAGTCAAACACTGCTCACGCTGCCCTACCTGCTTTTAGGATGCTGTTTAATAGATGGTATTAAACAGCACGCACTCCTTCGCCTGTCTAAGTGACAGTTTTTTACGCATTTTCAATAATCAGTGGTTGAGAGGGCTGTTAAAGAAAGTAGTACTCGTGCCTGAAACCAGATGCACGAGTAACTCCCGAGGCCCAAGAGAGGCATTGGTTTACACTGTCCTCATATATGTTAAGTAATAACACAATTTCCCCCTGAAAACGATCCAGGTTCATGATTGAAGACGTTAAAACCATACTTTTTTTCTTTCTTTCGGAAAGTACTGCATGTTCGTATTGGGGGAATAAAATGATTTCCTTGGGAACTAAATTCCCCTGTCAGGCCTGCTTTAGCACATGGACGTATGCCACAGCGCATATTCCCATACGCAGCTGCATTCCTGTCTGCTATGACATCAGCTTCAGATCAGTTGAGTTCATTTGGCCTTATGGGTGTTGTCATTTTTTTTTTGGTATAAATTTGTGCCAGTGTTTTATATTCATTTATCCGTCATCTATTCTGTAACTTTCACCAATCGTGTTTTACTGAAAACAGAAGCGCTTGAATCAACCGAAGACGTGACCAGTTGTGTGTCTGTCCCCCCCCTCTCCCCTCAGGCCACGTCTTCAACATGCCCCACGACAATGTGAAGGCATGTGAGGAGGTATTTGGGAAGCTAAAGGACAACCACATGATGTCTCCCACGCTGATTCAGATAGACAGGAGCCGACCCTGGTCTGTGTGCAGCGCAGCCATCATTACCGAGTTCCTGGACAGAGGTCATGGTTAGTAAACACTTCCTGAATATGTTTCTGGACTCAGATGGACCACTAATTCTGTCCAGGCTTCATCATCCAACCCTCAGCTGGTAGCAATCTAATTGTACCCACAGAACACAGACTTAGGCTCCACATTGTCACGGTTAAACTTATCATTTCAGTTGTACTTAATGCCAAGAGATATATTTATTCTATTTGTTTTCACTGATATGTCTATTTGGATAAAATATCTACAGTGTGTTCTGCCTCACGAGCATCTTGATGTGATTAAAGACGTCAAAGTAGTTTATCTGAAGAAATAAACAGTCCAACCGATGTCATTAAAAATAAATAAATAACACAATGTCATTTAATATCAAGGCTGCTTGAATAGCATGTCTAAACGGACTAGAGAGTCAAAGCAACAAAAGTTTAATTAAATTTTAAAAAGCTGCAGCCATTAATATTTTTATATGAGCAGTGTGTGGAACACAGACGATGTTGTATTAACAAACACACAGAGAATTATCACTTGACTCTGGAGTTCCCCTTCAAATAATTAACCAACAACCAATGCTGAACTGCGCCTGATGAAATCAGAGTTGTGGAGTTACATTACAGCTCATTAACAGGGAAAGGGGAGTAACATATACAAACAGATGACAAACGCTGAATATGAAGCTTTTTTTTAAAGAACACAATATTATACATTAAAGAGCAGCAGCTCGGTTTGGCTAAAATAACAGGATAAGAATAAGTGAACCGCTGAGTGCTACTCAAAACAACCAAAGTAATCAAATAAAACAATATGAGACTTCTAATCTATCATTAGAAAATCCAAATCATCAGCAGAATAACTGTGATGACATTCCTGCTCTAAACATAATAACAGTTCAAATAAAAGCAGAAAGCAGCTTTAAGAAGAATGTTGGTTCATGGATGCTGAGCAGCCGTCGCAGTGTCAAGACAAAAAACACGTTGGCTCTTCTTCTATGAAACAAGATGATTGAATAATGCTAAATTGAATGAAACTGGAATTATCCTGGCTAGAAATCTCTTCACTCAATTTGGGTCCTATTACACCATTCTATAGGAGTTATTAGCGCACATTATTTCCATACATATAGACAGAAGTAGACCTCGACCACCATCGTAATGACTCACACCATTAAACGGCAGTATAGCTGTGATTTAGCTCTCAGAAAGAGGAACAAAAGTTGGCAACTGGAAGCTGGAGAAGACGAAGGAGGTGGAAGGCACCCAGGACACCTGACTTCAAGTCCCACCTCAGACTGTAATTACAAAGTCCACTGACTTACATCTGGTCCGGCCTCCAGTTCCTGACTCCAACCCAGTGAGAAAGGAGCTAAAGCATCTCCTAATGTCTTGTTTCGACTTTCACTTTGACTTGCCATTTTTCACCAGATGTTTGGTTTAGTTTAGGCACCAAAACGGCTGGATTAGGTTCAGAAAGCAACATCTTGTTGCTACATTTACTACATGTTATGAAGCACCGTTTTGTCTTGTAAAGATGGTACACATTTACACTCACAGAAGTGCAAGGGTCACACATTATCGGGGTTACTTTGTGTTTATCGGTGATCAAAATGCATAATAACACGCCTACTGAGTCGGCTAGAAGGTGGAGGCGGTCCTTCACTCGTCCACATGCATGGGAATGAGCCACACTGCTAATAACTATAG